TCTGTCTGTCTGTCGGTTTGTCTGTGCGCGTGCGTGTATGTGTCCATGTTTGTGTCGGTGGGTGCATGTGTGGGTGGCGAGTTGGGCTTTGTATGAAAGCATGTACGTACCCGGTGAGTACTCCTTACAGCCCATATCTGCATGTATTCGTAGCACGTCTTGGCCAGTTCTCCGGGATTTCTTCTGTGCAGGTGATCACTTGCCACTGGTAAGTGGTTTATGGGAAGAGACTGACTGATCGATGGGTTATTATAATGATAAGCTTCGACAACTCCTTGGGTCCCATGCGATGAAGTTAAGTCCTGCTTTGGGCCTAAGCTCCCGAGGTGCGCTGCCTAGAAGAGAGCCGGAGGAAGTACGAATTCAACGAAGGCCACACTCTGAACTCCCCGAAAGTCCATCACTACGAATCGACGAACAATCTGCTCAAATAAGCCAAATAGGTATGCTAGCACCCTCAGGCCGAAGAGATGTTGAAACCGACCACGGTAGACACAGATTTCGGCACGTCTTCAAGACTTGAACTACCCAAAGGGTCCAAGTACCATTAGAGTAGGTACTTAGTACTACAGTAGGTATTTGGGCCCCAAGAGATATACTACACCGTACCATTACTTGGACCCTTTGGGCCTCTGGGTACGAAGGTTCTGGGGAATGCAAGCGGCTGTCTTGCGCCCCGACGTGGTGAATTATGGCGCAGCACTGAACTCTTGCGCCAAGAGCGGGGAGCCTGGGAAATGACTTGGTTGGTCAAGCGCTCAGGGAGAGTTTGAGAAACTGTAGAACAGTTTGTTGAACCGGGTTCAGTTCACGCATGTCCTTAGCTTCTTTTAGTCAGCTGTACTGCCAGTGCTCCTGATCAGTGCGCTGCATTTCTTAGTGGATGTTGGTATTGCTAGTTTCTGGCTCGATGGTTGCCATGCTATTGCCAATTCCATTGCCACTGCCACTGCCACTGGCACTGCCACTGCCACTGCTACTACTCATACGACTACTTATTAAACCTAGTACCCTCCTACTCCCACTCCTGCTCCTACTTCTGCTTGCTCCTACTGCTACTGCTGCTGCTGCTACTGCTACTGCTCCCGTTCCCGCTACGGCTACCGCTACCGCAACGGCTACGGCTACGGCTACGGCTGCTGCTGCTTGTGCCATGGCCACTGCCGCGCTACTGTTACTGCGGCGACGACGACAATTGCCACTCACACTACCACTGCTATTACCGTGTTCACCACTTAAACCACAGCCGCTTCCATGCAGCATTCAGCAGGATGCTGGTAGCAGTGAGAGCGCTTCGTGACACCAAGGAGTGGGGGCTGGCGCTACATTTGTTGCAGAGCATGGAAGCAGAGTATGTCCAGCCGAACGTGGTCTCCGAAGTTTCCTCCAGAACCCATTTTCCTTTGTGCTGCTTAGTTTTTAGGGGTTTAGGGTTTAGGGATTCCGGTTTATAGGGTGTAGTGTAGGGATCAGTGGAGTCAGTACTCCTGGCTTTATGTAAAACAGGGCTCAAGGTCTGTTTGCAGACCCAGGTTACCTACAGCGCTGCCATCGCTTCCTGCCGGCCGGCCGGTCAGTGGGAGGCCAGGCTTGGTGTGTCCCAATCTAGTATAGGGGCCTTAATAATTAGAATAGGGCTTGGGGTATATTATACTATAATATAGTAAGTAACCCCCCAAAACCCTATTCCAATTATTATTATTAAGGCCCCTATACATTGCAAGCCAAGCTCCTGACAACCGGAATCCGTACTGGTTCAGGGTGATGGTGGACCATGACGAAGCTGATTCCAACAAAGCTTCAGAATGGCTGCCACTTCTTACAAGAACCGAGCTTTCGCCCTAATTGAGCTATGCGGCTTTGTTGTCTCAATCCCAGAGCCTGTGCCCAAAGGATGAAGTGAATCCCACAGGTTGCGGCCCATTTACTCTCGCTCATGCAGAAGGGAGAGATCGCTTTGGATGCCCTTTGTTACACGGCTGCCATTGGCTGCTGTGACCCGGCAGAATTCCAAGTTCAGGGACATGTTCAGACACATGATTTCTTATCTTGGTTAGTCTTTGCTGCTCATGACACTGTCATTTCTCAGTTATGCAGCAGCTCCGGAATGGGCGCTTACAGGATCGCACCGCGTTGATAAGAGGGCTTTTTTGGCTGGATGTACCAGAATCTCCCGCACCCCTGAAGCATTGCTTTCACATCGGTGCTAGCCCTATAGGAACCCAAAGCAGATTCTTACGGGATGTTCGTGAGCCGGCAGCTACGCGAGTAAGGCGAGAAGAGTGGACAATGGGAGTGGGCGCTGCACCTCCTTCAGAACATGCCCACAGCGACGGTGGCCCCGAACGTCATCAGCTACAGCGCGCCTAGCCGCCAGGAAAGCCCCAAGTTTGGGCTATATCCATATGTAAGCTCCTTAAAGCAGTTTTCCTCAACACTCCATCCTGAATCCTGATCCCTGAGACAGCCTGAGACCAGAGCACCCCTTAACACTGAATGCTGAACAGACATGAGGCTGTGATCAGTTCTTGTGGACCTCGAGCGGCATGGCAGCAGTCGCTGGCACTCCTGCGCAAGCTGGCCATAACGACACTTGGGATGCTGCCATAGCTGTCTAGGTCTAGAAAGTGTGGGATCCAGGAACGGCTGGAAGGTCCCAATTCTGGTGTGAAAGAGAAGTTTGTGGAGGTGGGTTTCATGTTGGAGGGGGTTATGCACGAAGTGTAGAGGACGAAGGTAAGCGAGCAAGATGTGTTGCCACAAAAGCAGTGCCATCCTGTATCCAGGCAACGTATGTTGTCCGCTTGTCAGTTTTTGTTTCGCCACGGGGCTACGGCAGTGGCGTGGCCCCAAGGTACTTAAATAGGGACTAAAAACGGGCCAAAGCATATACGTATACATACATATATATATATATATATATATATATACATCTGTATATATATATATATACCCATGCATAACGTACATATATATATATATATATACACATTTATTACATCTGTATATATATATATATATACACATGCATAACGTACATATATATATATATATATACATATTTATTTATACTATTTGGGCACATGGACCCTTAGGGGTACCAACCCTGCGCCAGCCTCGGGGCTTTGGGGGCTTCGGCTTCAAAGCTTCGCGGGCTCAAGGATGCGGGTATCATTGATTATTATCAGCTTGCATAGAAATATATTGATTATTATGATTAATTGTTATAATTATGATAACGGTTATGATGCTCTGTGTTTTGGACCAGGATCACACCCAATGACGTCAGTTACAATGCCACCATCAACACCTGCGAAAGAGCTGGGCAGTGGCAGGACTGCCCGTGAGAGAGAGAGAAAGAAAGAGAGAGAGAGAGAGAGGGCGAATGATTGATATCATCGTTTCGGTGGTAGGGAGGTCCGAAGCATGAGAGCAGAGGGTTCTACTGGGACTACGTAGTGGCGTTGCAGAGTCCAGAGGGATCACAAAGTCAGGCTTTTCCAGCCTTGTTTATGGCCTGGTTGTAGTTCTAAACATGGTCCTCCCTCTCTCTGTACTCCACCCACGTCTACTTTTTCTTTGATCTCGCCCGCTCTCTCTCTATTATGATTAAGAACACCCCTGCCCCCTGATGTTGAAGTTTGCTTTCTCGAAGCATTGAGAACTAGGGCTCCGCATTGATTGTTTTCGTTCCGGCACGCGCTCGTGCAATCGTAGGGTTTCAGATGCTGTGTAGATTAGTTGTAAGATTCTCGGTTTCCATCCCTATAGGAGTTAGAGCGACCCCGCAAGTGTATCACTCTTATCTTTCTTGTACCATAGTCTTGCCTAGCTAAAACTAGTCTTTGGGCGCATCCTCGGGCAAGAGCTCCCGGGATACATATTCAGTAGCAGGGGCCAGGTAAACGAAGGTTTGGGGACTGCTTCGAGGAGGCTTTGGATGTCTTTTCCTCGATGGCCTATGCCGAGCTGCGCCCCACGGCCGTCACCTTCGGGTCGTTGATGCACCTTCGGCTTTGCTAAGGTTCCTCTACTTCTCAATGCCGCCGAATGTACCCAGGTTGTAGACCCCATCGTGTCAGAGTCAGTCCCCAGAAGACACCAAACAACTAGTTGGTTGATGTAAAGCATAGGAAAGTGCACCAGACTTCATCCACAGCACTGCCAGCAGAAGTTGCTGTTAGCTTTGCAGTTGTAGCATAGAGCAGAAGCAGTGCGCGAGTAGCACTACTCGTCGTCGCCTCAGTTGTAGTTGTCTTCGGCGCAAACATGGCCTTACGTAATACTAATTGGTAGTCGATGAAGTCCAACTCGGGGCTTCAGATTCGGCATCGGGCACACTTGTTCTCTCTCCCTGAATTGGCCCCAGGAATGCATGCGCCAAGATGGAGAGGTGGGCGGATTTTGTCTTGTGGAGAAGCAGCAGCATTAAGACGGGCTACTGGAGATTGATGCAGATCCCTCCAAGCGAAATATAGGAGCCCAAAGAACTACCAATATTATTCCTTGGGTTCCTTATGATAATGATAGTATAATATACCCCAAAACCCTATTCGAATTATTAAGGCCCCTACATTAATTATTCAGGGCCGCCGACGGCCTAACAGAGCCCGGGGAAGAGATCCCGCGTCCCCAAGTCCGACCAAGTCCCACGAACTGGCACCGGAAAAGCTTTAGGATGAAAGCAATGTAGGGGCCTTAATAATTAGACTGGGTTTTGAGGTTTTGAATACTCTCATAATAAGAATAGTAGTAATATTAATATTGGGGTCTCACTTCAGGGTTTCAAGCAGCTTTCAGCCCGTTCTACGAGGGTTTAGGGTTTAAGGTTTAGGGTTTAGGGCAGCTTAGGGTTTATAGGGTTTAGGGTTAGTTGCGATTGTTTTGAGTTGTGTAGACGCTGACGCCAGAGGGATGGCGCCCGGGGAGAAAGATCGAAGGTGGCAGCTGGCGATGCAACTCTTTGCAGACATGCCTACCGCCACTTGCCATGCCAACTATAGTGGCAGTAGCAGGGGAGATAATATAAGGGCATAAAATAATTACCTATACTATTTTGGGGGCTCGTTATTAAAACTATAGTATAGTATACCCCAAAACCTTATTCTAACTGTTAAGGGTTCTACATTAGGGCTATGGCAGACGTGAGATTGTCCACATCAAGGTCCTTGGCAAGATGTCCCCGGAAGTGTTGCAACCGGGGAGTGTCAACCGAGCTCTGACTTCCAAGAGCTCACTTTTTTGAGCCTACCTATAGTCTCCATTGTAGTTCCTTTTTTTGGTTTAACCATTTTTATAGTTAGGACCCCATAAGGCAACCCAAAAAAGGAACTACAAAGGAGACTATAGGTACATATTCGTTGCACGGGCCCTTGAGGGTGTCGACGGTGTGTTGGATCGGGTTGATGTTTTCACACCGATGTAAAGAAACGCATCGAGCAGTAGGGTTGCAAATATCTGTCTGCTGACTCCTACGGATGCGACCTCCAAGATATGTTGTTGTCTTGTTCAGCCGATACCCAAGACCGTACTGGAAAGGCCATTGATAGTCAGAAGTGAAGGGTTCAAGCACCTTAGATGTATGGGGTCTGACATGTAGCTGAAACTGCCCAGTAAGTTGCATGCAGTAACCTGTAACAAAGGATTGCAGTGCATCGTTGCTTTTAGTAGGGTTTTTTCGCGAACAAAAAATCATTCGATTTTTTGATGCAAAGCATGCGATTTTCTGCTGCAAGACATCATGCCTGGGACGCTCTGCTGTTGCTCTTGACGTTAAACCCTGGTTAGAAATACTCAACCCGTCACTTTCGCAGCCCCCATCTCACGGCCTTGTTTCTGTTTGTTCCTTCCAGGTCAGGGTCCGTCCAGACGTCGTCAACTTCTCAGTTGGCCTCGCCGCTTGCGGTGCCTTGAAAAGCCAGTCAGCAAGTCTTCGAAATTTTGGGCTCTGAGAGCGACGGGTCTGTGAGGCTGCTTTCTCGTCTTGAACTTGAGGGTTTGTGGGGCTTCGGGCAGGTTATATATGTTATCTGTTCAACTAAAGGCTCTCTGCGACCTATCGTTTTCCAAAGCTCAGGCAAAACCCACCGCCTTGGACATACATCTACAGTATCCATAATCCCGAGGCTATAATCCACATGTAGGTAAAGCTTAAACAAGACTCGTTTCCATGAGAAGCAAGATCTTATGCGGCGTGCTCTCAAAACTTTAGAGCTAGATTTCACGAACTGTGGCCATCGTCTGCCTCAGAGTCAACCAAAACCCCAAACCCTACCTATACGTAGTCTCCATTGTAGTTCCTTTTTTTGGTTTAACTATTTATATATTAAGGATCCGATAAGGAAACCCAGAAGGGAACTACAACGGAGACTACAGGTAGACCCTAAATGGTAATGGACGGTTCTTCAGCCCTAAGCATCAAGCCATGAAGCCGAAGCCAAAACGGCACAGCGGAATTTAGGGTTTAGGGTTGAGGGTTTTGGTTGCCAAGTTTTCTTTGTTGTTCCGTCCGGGCCTTTTTCGCGTGGCTCGCTGCTGAAACCTGCGTGCCCCCCGATCCCTGCAAGGCTAAAGCCGGACCTACCCCTAGGCCCTACAGTAGTTCCTTTTTGGGGTTCATATATAGAATCCTATAAGGTAACCCCAAAAAGGAACTACTATGGGGCCTATGGGTAAACCCTAAACCGTAGTTCAAGACAGGTAAGGGAGGGCAGTGGCAGCTGGCACTGCAGATGTTTCAGGCGATGACTGACGATCAGGCGCTAGCCGTGCGAGGGCTGCACTAGAAGGTTAGCGTCAAGAGGGGGTCTTGTCACATGTTTTGGCAGCTTCCACAAAGGTCTGTGAAACACTGGTTCAGTCCGAAGTAGTGTGCCCATGAATGGAACCCGATTGTGCTTAGTCGCTTAAGCCTTAATATCCCTTGCTTTTACTGGTAAAGCCAACACTACGTATCATCGACGATGGCAATATAGAAAGTTTTTATTGCTGTTGCTGCTGCCACTACATCCGCAACTGCGGCTCAGGATGCTGCCACTACCACTGCTGCTCCCGCTGCTGCGGATGCTACACTGCACGACTTCGAAAGACGGAGAGATCGGGGCCCACGTATGCACCCCACAACCTGTTCTACTCATGAAGGCCCCTATATAAAAGGGGCTTAAGTTTCATGTCTGCCGTTGCAGCTCGGCCTGTGCGGAGTGTTGCGATTGCGATCTCGGGTGCGATCTTCGGAGAGAATTCGCATCATTACACCCACTGATGATGATGACGATTATTGTTATTAGTATTTTTGTTATGATCAGTATTATTCGGTTGTATGTGTTGTTATTACTAGTGCTGTTTTTTACTTATTGTTCTTGTATCTTCAGTCAAGCATCTGTGTTCCCTGACAGGTCTCGCCAAACCTGGTGAGCTACAATGCTCTTTTCGACTGCCTGCAGGAGACTGATGTCGGGCCCACTTTGCAGCTTGGTTTGGCTTATTTTAGCTATCAGCAGCGCCAAGAAAATGCAGTTAGTGCTCTTAGGAGCTTCATTTGTAGTATAATCAAGGCGCGCACAAGATGCTGATAAGAGGTAGCCGCATTGTTGAGATCATAGAGCAGTTCTGACAGTAGGCTAGCGCCGAGGCAATTCACATGACCCTAAACCCTAAACCCTAAACCCTAAACCCTAAACCCTAAACCCTAAACCCTAAACCCTAATGATTGCAGCGGCAACTCTCATACTTTTGGAACCTGATTAGGAAACCCTGGGCCTTTCTTAGGGTTCTTCCCTGAGGGTCCATGTACCCAAAAGTATAGACTTTGGCCTGACTTTGGCCTTAAAGTAGTCCCTTTGCAGGTACTTTGGGGCCAAAGTATATACTATTGGGGTACATGGACCCTTAGGGCTGAAAATGAACCCAAATATATCGGGGTTTGAGGGCCAGGGTTTCTTAATCAGGTGAGGATTCAGGGTTTAGGGTTTGGGTTTAGGGGGTTGGGTCTGATTTGAGACTCTCTGAGAGCAAGGGGCCATTTGGGAGCTTCGGATCGGGTGAAGAAGCGGAACCAGAAGGAATAATGTAGGGGCCTAATCATTGGAATGTGTACTGGGCACCTTTATAGTATAAGTGTAGTTACCAAGGAACCCCAAGGAATAGAATTGGTAATTGTTTAAGCCTCAGTATTATGTTCGACGTCACCTCGGATATGCCAAGATAGAAACCCCTTGGCAGCAGTTCACCAGCATGCCGATTGCCAGATTAATAGTTATCCCGGGAGATTGCTGATCATAACATTATCGAGCAGTGATCCCGGGAGCCTAAACCCGAAACCCGGAACAGTATCATATCGTACTCGTATTATATATATATATATACATTTATATTTATATTTGTAGATATACATATGCGCAACACACACACACACATATATATATATATATACATACACAGATTTGTTTTTTACATGCATCTATGTACATATGTGTATGCATACGAAAGCATGGACATCAGGATCTCTCAAGCCAGACTACGTAGGCTTTCTTGCAGAGGAGTCTTGTAGGGTGTAGGCGGTGTTTCTGACATTAATGTGACGAGATGCTGCGGAGTGTCGGTTCGGCATCATGATCTTCTGGAGCCTTGTGAGTCGATAGATAGTGTCTCAGAGCTAGTGAAGCGTAAATAGCAACCCTGGATGTGTGAAGGGGCGGGTGGGGTTTGGGGTTATGACGTCGATTGTATCGGCGACCATGGCCAAAATACTAGTGTTTACGGAAAAGTTGGCGCGTGAAAGCTTTGCGCGAGGTTTCGGCAAGCGCGACCGCTCTACACTGGGCTGCTGCGCAAAGGCATAACCACGCTGGACTTGCATGATACTCGGCTGTTGGGAGGTCGATGGTGGTCATGCTGCGGATGGTTTGAATTAATGATGACGATGATGATGATGATGATGATGATGACAACGGTGATGCTGAAGCTGATGCTCAAGCTCATGACGACGCTGTCTATTCTTGCCGCCGTGACGATGGAACTGTGGTACCTCCCCGAAGTGCGAAGATGTTGGAGATGGTTTTGATGATCACCGCTGTGCTCGCGCCGGTGCAGCTGGCCCTGATGGTTGTGGCGATGCCCTAATAAGCCCAATACTGATGTGATGATGACAAAGAGCAGGAAGGTGATGTTGACCTTCCTTTGTTTCCTTAAGCTCTGCCACGTTACAGACTATTCTGAACTTCGCCGAAGGACATGTCGGCCGGGGCCGCATGGCTGGCAGTGAGGCGTGGCTGGGTGTTCAGGGTCTGCAAGGCTGGGCTTGGAGCTTTTTGTGCTACCTGTGGTCCTTCGCAAGACACAGTGTCCTAAACAAAGCCAAAACGACAGTCCGCTTGGGCTCTCCACACTGCAGGTGGTGGTTTTCCGACATCCTTCCGCACTACCTCCACCCCACCGCCCGGCAAAGTTGTGACATCATTACAGGCGGCTTAGGGTTTAGGGGTTTAGGGTAAGCGGATTTTTTGTCAGTTCGAACATGGTTCCAAGCGCCTCGCCTTTGTAGCTCCCGATACTCTGCAGCTTAGCCGACCTGGATTTCCCAGTTCTGCGCAGAGCTCAATGCTGTTGCTTGTGTAGTCAGCGAGCGGTCAGTTCCTTTTCTTGGCTTTGTGTCTTCAGAAAGTGAGCTGAAACGGGGTAATACTGTGTTTACATACATGAAGTCACATGTTGGCTTGATAGGTGCTGGGAAGCGCAGAGGCGTTGAGGTTTAGACTTCAGGTCTCAGTGTTCACGGATGGTTCGTCGTGGAAAACGAACGAAGTTGAGGAGTAATTGTGTACCGTCGACGATCACAGCCAGGTTGGGGCAAGTCACGACCCATATGGTCCAACTCCGATATCAACGCTTTCGTGTTGGCCAAACTGCATGAACATCGAATACCTGCTGAGGCGCTGAGGGTTTAGGAGTTGTGGGGTGACCTCAGCTTCTGTGCAGGAGGTCCTGGAATTGGACATTGCTTTCGCATTTAAACCTGTAGCGTTGACCCAGTTGACCCCACAGGATAGATGACAAGGTGGCGGTTCCTGACAGGGTTTGGTGCCCACAACAAGTTTGGAATACTAAAGCCCCAGAAAGGTGTTTGTGTTTGTTGAATGTTTGGGCTGCCACACATGAGATTGAAGTGTTCCGTGAGCTGCGAGAGGCTTTCAGCATCCGTTTTGTGACAGTAGCCCTTCGGAGCATTGGATGGTTCCGAGGGTTGGAACCATGAAGCAGGTAATCCAGAAGACCTGCAGCCTTTGAACTTAGTCCAACGGCTCAAGAGAATCAGAGGTGTTGGGAGTCAGCTTCGTTACGGCTCTGTCAAGGGTGACATGTCTACATGCTCGTCATCCTGCAGCAACAGTAGTACCAACAGCAAGAGCACGGCCAAGAAGCTTAACTGGACGTCGTATCCAGAATCAACATGCTCCTGCAGATGTGTTGGAAAGGCTGGAGTATTTGTGACAGTGCAATGTGGAAAGAGTCATCTAGCCCACATGACGCTCAGAAGCAACTCCAAGCCAGAAATGAATTACTACGGTTCTAAAAAACATACACGCCTGAACCCTATAAACCCCTAGACACCCCTAAACTCTACAAGACACCAATTAAAACCCAAACCCCTAACCCTGAACCCTAAGCCTTCAAACCCCTGAACCCTAAACCCTAAACCCTACAAGCCCTAAACCCTAAAACCTAAACCCTAAACCCTAAACCCTAAACCCTAAACCCTAAACCCAAACCCTGAACCCTAAACCGTGAACCTCGAGGTTCCGGCTGGCAACCGAGGACTGGGGCGCATCGCGCTGAGAGTCAGCCGGGAAGATCTGACTCGGCTAGCGCTGCGGGGCACAAGAAAAGGGGGGCAGGGTTAAGGGGTTTCGGGTTCAGGGTGATAGGGTCTAGGCGTTTCGGGTTCAGGGTTCAGGGTTTTGGGGTTTCGGGTTCAGGGTGTGCTGTGGGGGTTTCGAGTTCAGGGTTTGGGGTTTAGGGTTTAAGGGGGTCCAGAACGGTTTACAAGGCTTCGGTAAGGGCTATTGTAGGGGATCTATGCATGGGTCATCCGGGTTTCAAATCCTAATTTCATGATTCCTCAACTGATGGGCACATGTTGTCGAGTCTCTATACAAAGTGGCGAGAGAATAAAGCTGTCGAGTGGATGTCACTTTGCCGCTGACCTTAAACTCCCAGTCGTTCCCAACACCCTGGCTAGGCGAAAGCGCTAAGTTTAGGTGGAATGCGATATGGGTAGTTCTCCCAGTCTAGTCTAGTCATTGAGGCCCCTACATCACGAAGACTCAAAAAACGGCCCAAAAAACTCAACGCTGGGAAAGATTTCTCCATTGGTTCACGTAGTAGCAGCCTGCTCCCAGATTGGACTCCTCCTCGGTAGTTCACGCGTATCCTGTCGCGCATGCACCCGTCTGTACTTGAAGCGTATCTTGTAGTTTGTATTTGTATGTCAGTATCTATCTGCTTACCTGTTTGCCTATCTAACTATCTCTATATGCACGTATGTATTTATGTATGCATGCATGCATGCATGCATGAATGTATGTACTTATGTACGTAAACTCCGCAGGTCTATCTATCTAGCCGTCTTTGTTTCTATCGCAATCAATCAACCAACCTATCTATCTATCTATCTATCTATCTATCTGTCTCGCCATCCTTTGAGCTGTCTATCTATCTTCCATAAGCTATATCAACCAACCTATTGATCTGTCAATCCTCCTGTCTATCCACCCATCTGTCTATCTATCTGTCTGGCTTTCTGTCTACCGATCTACCTACTACCTGTTTGGCTATAACTCTACCTATCGAGCTACGTGTCTATCAATCAATCAACCAATCAGCCCGTCAATCAACCAATCCATCTATCTGTCTGTCTGCCGATAGAGCCACCTATCTGTCTATCTGCATATTTGTCAGTTTCTTTCTACCAACCAATGTGTTTATCTTGCTGTGCACATATCTGTCTGTCTAGCTACTTATCTACCTGTCTAGCTAGCTATCGAGCAACAATCTATCTAGCCCTGTCTGTCGAGACCGAGGGCTTTAAGCACAAGCAAACGAAGTGTGTATGTATGTATGTATGTATGTATGTATGTATGTATGTATGTATGTATGTATGTATATATGTATGCAGGCACGCATGCACGGATGTATGGATTTACGTATGTTTGTATGCTTGTAGACACACATATATGCGCAGGCCTATGCGTATACAATCGTTTAAACAAAAGTGTGTAGGAGTGTGTGTGTATATATATATATATTTATATCATATGCGCATCTGTTCACATACATACATACATACATACATACATAAATACATACATACTTATATGTATATACATACATACAGATGTCTGTCTATATATATATATACATGTGTACATAGAAACAGGAGGCAAATATATTCACTGAACGCGTGTGTGCGTGTGTGTGTGTGTGTGCGTGAAGTTGTTCATGCATGTGTACCTTTGCATACGTAATGTGTATGCATGTGTATTTATATGTATTTGCATTTATGTTGGCATGTGTATGTGTATATATATATATATATGTGTGTGTGTGTCTGTGCGCGTGTGCATGTGTGTGGAAACGGTTTCTCTATGTCCACATGCTGTTGGACAGTGCTGAAACCTAACCTAGCAACAACGGTATAGCAGAAAGAGTAGGATAGTACCGTCGATAACAAGAAGACGAATCATAATACCGACAGTAGGTCAGTAGGATTGAGAATGAAGTCTTTCATCGCCATGCTGATGATTTTGGCAAGCCCGATGTAGTCCTTGCCGGCTCCAGTTTTCAGCCCTGGCGTCTTGCATTCCTGCTTCACACCTGGTCCTAGGTAGGAGTTAAGGTTCAGGGTTTCGGGTTGTGTCACTTCCTGCTGAATGTCAGAGGTCATCGAGTTGAGTTTTGAGGGTGAAGGAAGTTCCAACGAAGGCTTGCCGTGTCCATTCACACATACGCAGACACACACACACACACAGATAGATAATGAGATGTGTGTGTGTGTATGTATATATATATATATGAATACCGTCCCCACCTGCACGTCGATGAGCACACGCACAAAGACTAGCGCAGACACACGCGCACACACACACACATTCTCTCTGTCTTTTTCTTTCTCTTTCTCTGCCTGCGCCTGCCTGCCTGACTGGCTGTTTGTGTGTCTGTCTGCCTGTCTGTCTGTCTGTCTGTCTGTGGTCAGTCTGTCTCTCTCTCTCTCTCTCTGTCCGTCTCTCTGCCTCTCTGTCGCTCTCTAGCACTCACATATATATATACACACACACACACACACTCACCGGCTTAACGTCACAGCCCAATGCCATGTCTGCTGGGCGATTTCACTCCGTCGTCCGCGCCCGCGCACCGCAGCACCAGAAGCATCCCTGTTGCAAGCGGAGCATGCCAGGATGGATCGACTGGGTTGAAGGTGTTCTAATTAAACTGAGAGCCTTGGGTTTATGCGCAGCTCGCTGGGCTGTCATCATCCTCACACTCCACCTGCCTTCTTGCCGTACCCAAGAAGCACCTTCGCCGGAAGCTGATGTGATCATGCGTGTTTTTCGTTTCGAGCCTCTCTCCATCGTCTGCAGAGCGTTGATGCAGGGCTTCATGCGTTTTGCGAAAATTGCATCTCGCTGGATGTTTGTTTAAAGAGATGGCCCTAATTGCCTTGAGTAGGCTTCGTGCCCACACTGCCTCCTAGGGTTTAGGGTTCAGGGTTTAAGAATAACATTGAAGATGAAGACACACGATCACCACCCTTAAGCTTGCACAGGAAGTTTTGACTGACAGCACGAAATAGTTGCCGGCTATTCAAAAGCAGTGTTCTGCAAAAAGGGTTACATGAAGCTTACTCTGAATAAGAGATCCTGTCTCTCGGAGGCTAGTAACACTTCTTGGGCATACGGGTGAAGTCGTTATAAGGAAACGCGTAGTCTTCAACAATCGTGATTCTGAGCAGGGATTAAGAAGACACCTCATCATCATGATGTTTCATTTGTGGCTACATGATGTCCAAGAAGGTGTATGTATGCAGCAGAGTACACATATGTGTCATCGAAGCAGAAGCCGTAAGCGATGGACCGACAGTTCCCTGCAACTGCTGTGCGACCCGAAGATCCGACGAAGCTCCACTTGACCGTACCCATAGGCTCCAGTGTAGTTGCTTTTGGGGGGTTAGTTTAAATATAGGATCCTAAATCTAACCACAAGAATGGACTACGATGGAGCCTATAGGTGTGCTCTAAAGTTTTCAAGTTAAAGACATGAAGCCGCAACGGCTTCGGGCTTTGGGTTTGGAGGTCGAGCTTTGCCATAGCTATCGCGGAGCCCGTCCCAGACGAAACCTTGAACCCTGACCCCGAAAGACTAAACTAGGCCCTGAACCCTGAAACCCTCAAACCCTATTGCCTTAAAGCCCTAAACTCTGAACCCGAAAGCCTGAATCATCCAGTCCCTAAGCCCTTAACCCTATAAACCCTAAACCCATTCAGCCTGAACCTTAGCATGCAGGGCCTGCGCACTTGTGACTGTTTTTCCCTGAGATGTCCCCGACGTGTTGCCGTCCCCCCCCTCAATAGTACGAGCCTAGTCTAAGTATCTCGGCTTCTATATACCATAGTCCATGCTGTAATAGTACTCTCATGTACACAAATACATACAGTGCCACGACAAACATATACATATAGTACAAAAAATGCATATTGCGTTCAAGGTCCCTCCGGCTGGGAGCTCGCTTTCAGAAGCTTGGCCCATCGGCCAGCAGGGAAAGTGCTCTTTGGCCCGAGCTTCTGGGGATTGGGGGTTCTGGAGTTTAGGATGGTCCAATGTATCAGGTTTGGGGATTACCTAAAGTCTCCATCGTAATTCCTTTTCGGGGTTAACTTATAGGATCCTAATGATAAAACTGGTTAAACCCCAAAAGGATCTACCATGGAGGCTGTAGGTAAGGCAAGGTTGGGGGGATTGCGGCTTGGATTTAGGGCTTGGGATAGTTGTGCATGTCAATGGCGGTATTGTCGTCTTGGGACACCCTAAACCATAAGCCCCCAACCGGAAACAGCTTGAACCCCCCTAACCCTAAGCTTCTAAACCCTAAACCCTTCAGCCCCAAACCCTACAACCAAAGTGGTGGAACCTGAACTCCTGAAACCCCCTACATCCTAAACCCTGAAACCCCCAGAACCCAAAAACTAAACCTTCAAACCTAAACCCCCAAAAAACCCTAAAGCGTAAGCCCTTTGAAGCCTGAACCCTAAGACCTAAAACACAAAACCCTCAAACCTGAGCCCCAAAAACCTAAAGTCTACTTACACCCTCAAGTCTAAACCCCAAAACCTAAAACACCAAACTCTCAAACTTAAACCCCAAGAACCTAGAGCCTACGCCCTATAAACCCTAAACCCTAAAACCTAAAACCTAAAACCTAAAGCCCTAAACCCTAAGGACCTAAACCCTAAGAACCTAAAGCCTAGAGGTTGCTGCGACTTTGACCCCAGAGTTTCCCCGGCTTCGTCAGCACCCAAAGGCGAGCCTTCAGCTGCTCCTTGGCTTTGCTTGGGAGGATTTCGGGTTTAGGCGTCTAGGCGTTTAGGCGTTTAGGGTTTAGGCGTTTAGGGTTTTGGGTTTAAGATTTATGTTTTAGGGCTTAGGCGTTATAAGGGTTTAGGCGTTCAGGGTTTAGGGTTTTGGGTTTAACATTTATGGTTTAGGGTTTGGGCGTTTAGAGTTTAGGGTTTAGGGCGTTTAGGGTAGGGAAGGGGGATGGTTCGGGTGTTAC